AGTCCTAGCGTCTCCTCCCTTGTTTCCTTTCCCTCCTTTTGTTTTTTTAGGGGCTTACATTCCCAGCCTTTTTTATTTTTTATTTTGAGAGAGGATTGATCTTGTGATTCTCCTGCTTCAGCCTCCCAAAATGCTGGGATTACAGGCTTGAACCACCACACTTGGCGTTCTTGGTTTCTTAAATTAACCTCTAACATCTCAAAAGACTGCATCAGTCATCTGCAAATTCTTGAATGGGAAGCTAAGAACTCATCACCCATGCATCCACCCACTCATGGTGCAGTCTGACATTCAGCTACCTGCTCAGCTAAGCCCAAAGCTTTGCATTTGAGCCCTAGCTCTACTTTTCATTTGCTTTGTCCTTGGCTTGGCACTTCCCCTCTTAGAGTTTTGTTTTCTTACCTACAAAGCAGATTTCTCTCTCTCTCTCTCTCTCTCTCTCTCTCTCTCTCTCTCTCTCTCTCTCTTCCCCCTCTCCCTCTTCTTCCTCTTCTCCCTCTCCTCCTTCTCTTCTTCCTCTTCCTCTTTCTTCCCCTCCCCCTCCCCCTTTCTCATTGTCCTCCTGCTCCTTTGTCTTCTTTTTTGGAGACAGAGTTTCACTATATAGTTCGGGCTGGCCTTGAACTCACTATGTCACCCAGGCTGGCCTCAAACTCATGGTGCTCCTCCTGCTTCAGCCTCCTGAATGCTGGGATCACAGGCGTGCACCAGCAAGCCCAGCTAGAGAGCTTTTTCTAAGAGCACTTGCCCCTGTCACTCTGTTTCATTACTGTTTTATTTCATTCCTAACACTTATCACTGCCTGAAATTATATTGCTGACATACAAGTTTCTCTTCAACATTACTACTTTTTCATTTTTATTAATTGTGATTATAGAAAGAATACATGAGTATGTTTTCCATAGGGCCTGACATGTACAGCAAAAGTCCTCTCTTACTTCCTCTTCTCCCAGCCGAGATCCCTCCTTGCAATGGAAGCACTGTTTGTCCTATTTTCCACTGACTTGTAAATTCCTAGCACCATGGGTGGCACATTCAGTAACTGAGTAAACAGTAAACCAAGGGTCAAACTCTGGTTCTACTCTGTACTAGCTTCCCCCCGGGAACATTAGCGGAAGGGAGGTTAGAGGCCAAGGTTAAGAGGGTGCTATGGATTTGGGCAAACCACTTAGTTTCTCTGTGTCCGTCTGTTCATTTATTATTTTTTTAAAAGGGGGAAAGAGGATTTATCTCAGAATGATGAGCATTGAGTAGCACCAGGCCCACCATACACCCCCCTGTGACATTCAGAGGCTCGTGGGGAGGTACTTGACATTCTGCATGTTGACTCCACAGTCTCCCAATCTGTTCAGTGTCCCTAAGTGTTACAGCCATGCTTTCCAAACTGGGCCAGGGAGAGCTGTGTGGGAGTGGGGGGACCTGAAACCATCTGGTGCCTCTTTCCGGACTATTTGTTTTACCCAGAAGTAATGGAAAACATTATTTGTTATAGTAAAATAAATACAAATATTTATTGAACAGAAAGAAGGATTTGCTTGAGTTTTAAAATTCAGGTGCTTTGGGCAACAGGATGGAAAGCACCATTAGACTTCATTTGGTGTGGTAGGACCCATGCTTCATATGGGGAGTGATCAAAAAATACAGTGAATGTTTAAATTTTAACATTTTACAGTAAAAGACATATTGACATTGATTTCCCTCCAAATACCTCCACTTGCCTTGAACTCACTTATGTCATCCTTCCGCTTGCATTCTGAAGCAGTTCTGGAAGTCCTCTTTTGTGTTTTTAATTTCTCTGTCTTGGCTGTCTCAGTGTCCTGAACTGATTTAAAACGTTTACCTTTCATGGTCATTTTAAATTTGAGGAAGAGCCAGAAGTCATATGGTGCTGTTTTAGTGAATAAGCTGGATAAAGACACATGGTAATGTTTTTACAAGCCTGGCTTCCCAATGGATGTCACTCAGCAGAAGCATCTACCATATTTTTGGTCACATTTTGTAAAAATACTCATGAAAGAAGACTTCCAGAACTGGTTCAGAAAGTGGCAAGCCAGTGGGCATGGTGGCACACATCTGTCATCCGCGCACTCAGAAGGCTGAGGCAGAGTTATGGACATGAGTTCAAGGCCAGCCTGGGCTACATAGTGAGTTCAAGGCCAGCCTGGCCTGCATAGCTCCCTGTCTCAAAAAAAAAAAAAA